TGAGCAAGGATCATACCATGCCTGAAAATAGAAGACGACGTAAAAGGCTTCAGAAAAGGCAGCCACAAGCAGTTCGCCACAATCCGTAGCACCTTATTCATGCAAGGAAGGCTGTATTACGACACCCGATGGCTGCAGTGTTTGCACCAAAGTTGTTTCGGTAGTCGATGAGGCATTTGCATGCAACCTATGTCAACGATGGGCGCATTGCCACTGCGACACCAAAGTCCCCCGACAATACTATAAGCTGATGAAGAGACAACCATGCAAGTGGTTCTGGTACATCTGTCCAGAGTGCAGGAAAATGCCCGCACTCCACACAGAAAGCCTGAAGGAGATGCTCTCCGCCACGCAAAAGCTACCAGCATCCTCGAATAAAGTAGGGTTAACACCAAAGGATAACACAGAGAGACCTGGAAACAGACCTAGAGCTCCAGCTGTGGGCACGCCACCTCGCGTGGGGACCATATTAGGTCAAGTCTCCATACCTCCTACCCGGCCCCAGGGGACGTCAAGCGCATGGCCAAAGACATCGACCGCTGAAGCCTCTACGAAACCCATTCCAAACACCCCACACACCGTGACTGAGAAACAACCAGTGGAATTACTCAAACCCATTGGGAAGTCGGGCGTGCCACCCACAACGAACCCAGGTCACAGGAGGACCAACTCGATCATTTTGTTCAACGTCGATGTATCGACAGACTCATTGTTGGTCGAGAGGGAACGGTTTGACAGCCGAATGTGGACCGACTACTGTCAGATGCTGGGACTCCCTCCCCTCCCTGCAACTTTGTGTCGCCTTTCTCGAGGAAGCCGTGCACCCCGAGATAAGCCACCCCCTTTACGTGTGTCCCTAAATACCGCCAAAGAGGCTGAAGACACACTCCTCTCTCGCGACAACCGGACGTTGTTAATGCCTGTAAAATTCGGGCCAGGCCTGACAAGCCATGGTCAATAAGAGAGGAGGAGAGAAAGTCAGCGGTTGGAAATCCCAACAGAAACAACACTATAGTTGTACATGGGATTCCAGAATTGCCAAGTGACCGCTCGGTCAAAGATCGGTACTTTCACGACGTCCAACAATGGCAATGGCTCTCAACCAAAGTTGGTCTCAACAGTATACCGGCCAACAGCGTCAGTAGACTGCCAAGGCCAGCGCACCTGAAGACCATACCCAATCCCAGACTACTCGCCGTCCAGTTCGACTCATATGCCTCCCTCACAGACGTTCTACAGGCATGGTATAATGCGAAGGATCGCATGGGTGGCTCAATACGTATATGTGAAAGTAAGCCTAGACCCACAAGGCAAGAGGAGAGACGACAACCACCAAGACCTCTGGAGTCAGTGGTCGTCACACAGGCGCTGACCAGTGAGTTAGATACATCAAGTAAAGAAGCCACCACTGCCACAGCCCCCACCCAAGTTAATAACAAAACAAAAAACGGAACAATGCCAGTCCTATGAGGACTGGCGAGGGTAGACCCAACCACATAAGCGCTCATCCTGCGAAAATACACAACCAGACCTCCCCTCTCACCAGGCACACTCTAATATGTATGTACAGCAACGTTAGGGGGCTAAGAGGGAAGGTAGCAGAAATGAGGACGCTGCGTGCACATCAGCACTCCGACATCATATTCATCACCGAATCCTGGCTCTCGCCAGACATCTCCGACGAAGAGATGCATGTTACTGGCATGGAACTCTTCCGCAGGGACAGGGAACATAGAGCAGGAGGGGAGTGGCTATCTACGTAAACTCTTGTTAAAGGCAAGGATGGTTAGCGATACGGCCTTAACCCAGCTCCCAGAGTCCTATGGTGCTACTTCACTCTCCACAGTACCAAATACCTGCTCGGAGTCATATATCGGTCCCCCACCAGCTCCCCTACACATAAGGAAATGATCATCAAGGCTATCTTAACGACTTCCTCTGCAAATTACGATTCCGTAGTCATTGCCGGCGACTTCAACACCCCGTCCATCCTCTTCGAGACGGAAGGGAGACGCATCAGATCCTTCAATCAGAAGCTGAAGGATGCAATTAAGACTGCTGGCCTCTCAGAGAAAGTGGGTGATGCTACACGCTGGGGACCTAACGGAAACGCATCGCGCCTTGACTACGTTCTGACGAACGATGAACTTCTCATTGAGGATGTTTGCATCCAACCTCCCCTTGGCCTCAGTGACCACGCTGTAATCACCTTCTCCATGATAACTAGGGAGGCTCTGCAACTGGAGACGCCCAACACCTTCCCTTGCTACAGCAAGGCCAACTATGAGACCATGAGGGACTACCTCATGAATGCATCATGGCCAGTGGACTGGACTCATCTCACAATAGATGAACACTGGTTGGAGGTGAAGAAAATAATCACTGGGGCCATCAGTCACAGTGTACCAGAAGTAACACACAGACAATCAATGAGAACCTCATGGTTAAAGCGTGGGACAGAGAGGCTTATCCGGAGCAAGAAGCAGGCTTGGTTCAAGTGGCGTACATCACGCAGGGAGTCTGACTTCTTGAACTACAAAAGGATTCGCAATCTCTGTAACATTAGAGTGCGTAACGACAGATTTTCCTACCAAACAAACTTGGCAGCGAGGTTACAAAGCAACCCCAAAAACCTGTACCGCTTCATGTCAAGAAGAAAGTCGACCAGTAAGGGAGTGAATCTTGTCACAGGCCATGACGGGAGTGTGCTAAGCAGTCTAGAGATTGCCGAGCTTTTGAGCTCACACTTCCAAGCCCAACTCAGCACTGACACAAGATCCACACCGACTCGCCACGACACCGACCAGGTCGCAAATAACGAATACCTCTGTCACGTCTCTATTACAGAGAAAAAGGTGTTCGAGAAGCTATCTAGGCTACGTCCGGGCAAGTCCCCTGGCTGCGATAACCTGAAACCAGTGGTTCTGAAAAACTGCGCCGAGGTGCTTACCAAACCACTTCGCAACCTCTTTGAGCACTCAATAGACTCGTGCAAACTCCCTAAAGAATGGAAGAGCGCCATCTTGTCACCCATCTTCAAGGGAGGAGACAGAAAAAGCCCTGGCAGCTACAGGCCAATTGCCCTACTCCCTATTGTGTCGAAAGTGTTGGAAAGCCTGGTAGCTGACACCATCTGGGAATTCCTCAATAGGAAAACACTGTCCACACTGCTCAGCACGGCTTTCGTAGTGGTCGCTCATGTGCCACCAACTTACTAACCGCCTGGGACGACTGGACACAAAGCTGGGATAATAGAAAACCTGTACATGTTGTATTTCTCGACCTAGCCAAAGCATTTGACAGTGTCCCACCCACAGTACTGCTTCACAAGATCATGTCAGCTGGTATAAGTGGACCCCTACTCTCTTGGTTCAAGGAGTACCTGGAAGGGAGGCAGTTCTGCACTAAAGTGAACAGAATAAGGTCGGAGTGGAGATCCTCGACGTCAGGAGTATCCCAAGGAGCAATCCTAGGACCGCTTCTGTTCCTCCTGTTTGTCAACGATCTGCCAGACAAAATATCCTCACCCATCCTCCTCTTCGCTGACGACATAAAAATTTGGAGGGTGGTAAACGAAGAAGCCGACTGTGCAGCACTACAAAAGGACTTGCAGCAACTCGAGCTCTGGTCGTCGGAAAATGGCCTGAGCTTCAACCTGGAAAAGTGCAAAGTAATGCACATCAGTAAAAATGAGGCAAGTACGACCGACTTCCAGTACATGTTGAGCAACCGTGCTATCACCAGAGTGTCCATGGAGAAAGATTTGGGGCTCAACTTCTCCGACACCTTGGACACCAGCTCCAACTACAAAGGTATGACAACCAGAGCGAACGCCATTCTACACTTTCTGCGTAGACAGCTTGGCGCCCTCACTCCCGAACTCTTCCTCACCATTTTCAAATCCTACGTGCGGCCGCACCTAGAGGTCTTCAATACGGTGGCTCCTCCAACACTCAAGAGAGACTCTAATCTCCTTGAAAGAATACAAAGAACTGCAACAAAATCAGTTGTGGGGCTAAGGGGAAAGACGTATCCTGAAAGACTTAAACACCTCAACCTATTTACCTTGGGTTATCGCAGGAAAAGGGGTGACCTCATTATGGCATACAAGATCGCCCATCAGGCAGACCATGCAAACAAATCAATTTTGCCTGCAACTGAACGATCTTCACGAGGAAACCCCATTAAGATAGCACACCAGAGAGCCAACACCATACTCAGGTCCAAATTTTTCTCCCTAAGAGTATGTGCTTTATGGAATGCCTTACCGCGACACATCGTTATAGCTCCTTCAGTCGACTCTTTCAAGAGGCGATTAGACAGTTATGTCACCTCGCATGGACTACCACGGACGTACTCAGGTAGTCACCAACCTCAGTAGCCCCAACTCCCTCCTAACTACCACTCACTATCTCCCTCCTTAATACACCCACATTACCTACTAATTCTTCTGTAGGAACCAAACCCACGCGACCATTCACGCAATTCCCAAATACTTTTCTTTCGTTTTTCTTTCTCTTTTCACCCCTCCTTTTCTTCTCCTTCCCTTTTCTCTTCCCTCATTGTTATTTTTTCTTCTTTCTTCTCTTTTTCTTTATTCTCTCTTCATTCTTTCACCACTACCTTACTATTCTCTTTCAGGTACCTACACAGACAGGAGTCACGGCAGTTCTCTAAACTTCCCAGCAACCCGTAGCTCCCTAATCACTCTACAAATTACAACTTACTAACCCACAAAACATCCACCTCACCGAAGCTAAAAGCAGGAAAGCAGAGGGGATTTCCTCGTCCACTGCAGGAGCGAACCGAACAACTCGAACCAACCCCTAAGAACTAGACGCGAGAGATCAAAAACTACCAGTTTTCTACGCTCGCACTATCAATATTGGATATTGGATATTGAATATTGGATATTAGTATGCGCGGTGCTTTTGGATTTAACGATGCTAATCTACTGTAATGAATTTGCCGCTTTCATTTAGTTGCTTCAATTATTCCACATGCCTCAAAAACCAGTGATTGTTCGTGCACTGTACGACTACAACCGCCAACATACAGATGAGGTTCGTTTATAATTTGGATGTTGAAGTTTGACTCAGCCTGTTTCTATCTGCACTAATCAAAGTTGACTTCGGACGAAATTCGGGTTCAGTTAGGGAACTGTTACCTTATGCAAAGAAGTGTACAAATTACTTTGAACAACCAGTCATGGATCGATTCAAGTAACCTTCATGCATGATGACTTAAGTCGTCTAGTTTGCTGTCGAAGATTTTAGCTTGGAGTTGTAGGTGAATGTTTGGATGAGAGAAAATGGAATATCCCTAAACCAGGTTCTAAAACCCTCAGCAGATACTAAAAATATGAAGAGTAGTTCTGAGATTGCATTACACTCGATAGGAATGGGACGAAATTGTTATTTGTGGGAGCAAGGGTATGTAAGAAATATTTGGTTCGTCGTACAGAGGAAGATTCACTTCAGACGCCTTGCATTATTAGAAAAATTCAAATTGGGACAGACAAGATGGAATACAGACAGTTGCATCTTGACACCTATTAATTAACTAGTATTTAGGATGAGTCTCACATTTAGCCTCATCTTCATAATCTAGATTGGATTGATATATTATTACCACTATGTGCATTGGTGTTTTTTTCATTATTCTTCAAGTTATTCTTACAAACAATACAATCTGAATTTGTTGATATGAATTCATCTTAACATTAGCATGAGTGATATCTGCATAATCTCATGCCTCGTATATGCAAATTTATTTTCCTAACATCTACGATGTCCCTTGTAACCGTTTCGTCTTGCACTTTCAATAGAGGGGATTGTAAGTAGTGGTAAACATCGAATAACAAGGTGTATACAACTTCATACTGGATGTTTAGAGATTATGTTAAGGAAAATTATGATAATACAAACATGGTCAGACTAGGAGATTAATTATACTTCTTTACCCTGTGTGTGTTCTTTGATATTTTGATTTCTATTATTTTTCTGGCGAAACTGGTCAAACTAGCGCAGAAAACGCCTGAATCATAGTATTTTCAAGACTGATATTTATGGAAATTTAGCGTGTGCTAAATGAATTTTATTGCTGGGTTTTTTCCTGTATTGTAGCTATCTGGAGTAAAATAATGCATTTTATTTGTCCCATCTCGATTCACTTGGACTTTTTATTAACAGAGTTGGGACATGTCAACTCCAGTTACTGAAGACTTCACTGAAGTTACTGGTTGATCAAGAGTTGGGCAATGTGGCAATGTGTTAACACTGTAGAGATGTATTGTTATGTGAAGTCGTTTTTGCAGTTGAATCAGTAGTGCTATGGTTAGGCTTAGGTTATTTATATTGAGACGAAAAAGACAACTGCAAATAAATACAATCTAACAAACTAGTTGCTTTTTGGTTTGTATTGGCTTTTTAAGAAGTACAAACCTTTAAAAAGCCTCCGCACTAGTGACGTTCATTGCGAATAGTATCTGGTAAGTTCTTGAGCCAATAATTCCTAATCCTTAGAACACCATCCACGCATTTCACCCCATTAGCATATTTAAAATTAACACACTTCGTTACTTATCTTCTAAATGCTGCATTCAGAGTAAGCTTATATGAATTTAAAAAAGTAAAAAGCAGTCCCAATAGTGAAAATTGGCATTTGTCTGCATTTGAAGTCTACGGCTAGATGTGAACTTTGAGGTATCCGTGAAACGATAAGCAGCATTGTTAACAGTTAGTGAGCAGTGTCACCTAAAACTCTCGAGAGCGTTGTTGTAGATTCACTTTATATGTAACAAATTATTCGAATAGCAGTTTATTGTTTAATCACCAGTTCCCAATTATCACTAAGTGGTTATGTTGCTCTGTTCACAGCGCCTTTATGATAAAATTTCGTTGGGTTATCTTGTGATTCGATAGTATATAATTGAGGGTTCATAAACTTGGTGTACCAACATATGAGTGTTAGAGTTTCTACTAATGATGGAATCCACGGTGTTATTCACGAAGCTAATAAGCTGCAATAACCACCACATCATTAGAGCTTAAAATTTTCTATAAATTTTGCTGGCCTGATGAAGACAAACAGACACAAGATCAACGTAGGGCCTTGCACACAAGTGCATCGGTTTAGGTTGCCGCACTTCACAGTAGTATGCAGAGAGCAGGTGAATAGAAAAAGAGTAATACCAGTAATTTTTACTGTATATTGCAATTTCACTTTTTATATGAGGGAAGAAATGCTACCGAGGCGCCCAAGGCAAAGCAGGTGGTTGTCTTGGGAGACCATTCCCCAAGCCTTTGACTCAAGTCTAATCCACGAGGCAGTGGAGCAACATCAGTAGCTGTATTCCAAGGTTGCAGGTGACCAGAATGAGTTCATACGCTACTCGTTCCTTCATCATTGGTTTGAAATCAGGGTTTGAAACTCCCCTAGGTGGACTCTCAATATCCAACACGGGATACGCATCATCAATATCAACATAGGACCAGGCATTACTGCGTAACGGTCCGAGTTGCCACAGCTCATATCAGTGCATCAAGTAGAAAAGTAGTGAGGTGAAGGATGAAGATAAGAGAATGCAGTCAAAAGAAATATAAAGCACGAGAAGAAAGAAAGGAGAAATGACAAAATGATGAAATTCTGTATAGCGTGGTTAAAATGAGGATAGTGTGTGTATACATCTACGCCACTAACATCGGTTCTGAGCCATATCACCTAGAGTCAGTCTCCAACCGCTGGTTTCTCTTATCCCGTGGACCCCAACCACCTAGTTTGCATCGTCTCACATGGCTCAAACCCACAGTCAAAGACTTCACGCATAGATGCCATATTTGAGTGTGGCCACCTTGGGCCTTTTTCCAGCCTGGACCTACTTCGGCCAACATTGTGTGACAAGGCAATCAGTGACTAGGCATACATATTACGTGTCCCAACCATCTCAGTCGATGAAGGTTCACCACCTTGTCAACTGATTTACCTCTACTCCCTAAAACTCTGTACCTGACGTCTGCGTTACGTGGTGACACCACGGAATACGGCCTATACTACGAAGGCAACAGTGGTCAAACACTTGAAGCCTTCTCTTGTCTTCCACCTTCAATGGCCATGTTCCACAGCCATAGAGTACAGCGGACCGGACTGCTGTGCAGTACACGCGACCCTTAATAGACAAACGGATATCACGGCGGCGCCATAGGTGGCGTAAATTGGTAAGAGCCAGCTGAGCCTTGTGTAGCCTTATGTATCAGCAACTGACCCACTAGGGCTGATCCTACTTCCCAGGTAAGTGAAGTGGTCGACACACTCAACCACTTCCCTCTCTGTTGTTAGCCGTGGCACTGTTGAAGATCAATCGTTGAGCAACAATTTGAATTTGAGTGGTGAGAAATGCATCCCAAACCTCCTCAAATTGCTACTCCAAGTATTCAGAAGACTCTGCATTTTGTCAGCGTCTTCACCTAGCAGGACTATGTCATTTGCATATTCTAGATCTAACGAAAATTCTCCTGTGATTAAGTCAACGTCTGTGTAATCAGGTGACGAGAAGGGGACCTCCATAAGGATATTTATGATAAAATTGAATAAAAGTGGAGAGAATGGGGACCCTTGACGGACACCACTCGATGAGTATAGCTCACCTGACGCCCCGCAAGTGTTCGAGTAGAGAGCCTTCAATGAAGTGATGGGCTTACTCGGCACGCCTTTCAGTGAGAGACATTGCCATGAGACTTCTCGATCCACTGAGTCGAATGGCGCCCTCAGGTCGAGAAATACAGATAGTATCGGGCGTCTGTAAGCGTATCTGTGTTCCAGAATCTGGCGCAGTGTGAATATTTGGACGGTACACTTGCGACCGGGTCTAAATCCTGCTTGGTTTTCTCGGGCTTGCTGTTCCCGAGCTCCACTAAGGCGTCGGATAATTATAGAACCTAGGATCTTGGACACTATGTTTGTCATGCTGATTCCTCTGTGGTTATCATAAGAGGACTTCTCGCCTTTCTTGAAGACTGGTATAATCAGTGATTTAGACCAGTCAGAGGGGATCGTATTTGATTCCCATATACTAGCAAATACCTCCGTTAACCTTACTATGAGCACTGCACCACCATTCTTGTATACCTCAGTAGGTAGTCCGTCTGGCCCTGCTGCCCTTCCTGGTTTCAGGTTACCTACCGCTTTCTCGACTTCTGCTAGTGTTGGGGGACCTATCCCAATGTTCCATTCAGGATCCGACTGGATAGCGGGTAACCTAATGGTGGCTGGAGGCCAGTTAAACTGCTCTTCGAAGTGTTTTGCCCATCGTTCCGGTCGTCTCTGAGAGTGAATCGCAGATCCATCCTCCTCTATAGTCTCACTAACCGCAGTCGACCTTGTTTCCCCAGTTTCCTTAATAAGTCTCAATAACTGTCTACTGTTACCAATCGCCGCTGCCTTTTCCATCTCTTTAGCCTTCGCTGTCCACCATTGTTCGTGGTCGTTGCGTAGACTTTTTCTCAATCTACTTTTAAGTTGCGCTCGCTCTTCATTGTACTCAGAGCCTGCAGGGATGCATTCACGTGCATCCATTAGTTCGGAAGAAGCTGCTGATATCCACTGGTTCTTTTTAGCCACTCTTTCGGAGTCGGCTACGGTCTTCAACGCTGTTTTTACAGCAGACTGGAGAAGGCACCAAGCTTCTTCTGGATGATTGATAGTCTTCTGTTCCAATAACTGCCTAGCCAACTTCTCACTGAACATGGCTTTGGTGTTTTCGTTATCCAGCAGTACTCGTGGCGGCTTTGTTGCCAAATGTTTCCTGCGTCCATTGAGACGCAGGCATATACGCGCTCGGACCAACGCGTGGTAGCTATCCAAACGCGTGCTCCAGAAGGTGCGCCAGTCTTCCACTGATCGGTGGACTCCACATCAGACAGTGTCTTTCTTTATGTCTGAAATTTGTGCCAGCTAAAACAAGCGGTTATCTGAGCACCGTTGTAGTAGGCGATGACCGTTATCTGTACGTTCAGCCGGGACTCCGAAAGTGCCACCTAAGTGCCTTTCTGCCTCACTCAGTCTA